CCAGCTAGGGCCTCATAAGAAAGATGGTTCCTTCTTTCTTCAGCTAGAGACAGACTCTCCGTCAGGACTGTGTTCTGCTACCACAGGAACTCAGTCTAGGTCTGAGCTAACAGAGAAGACACAAGAGAACCCACATCTGCCAATACTTAGAACCACAGTGGTCCCAGGAGCCTGTCTGTGTGCTTCTGTATCATTTCAGGCTGAATCCACTGTTACTCGAAACAGATACATAAGGAGGCTCTGAGGGCCGGTTAGTTCTGTCTGCTGTGGACAGTGACACTGCCACGTGCCACATACCTTTGAATCCCTCTACCCCAAGCAGGGTCCCTTCACGGACTTAACGTTTGATCCACTTTATTTGCTGGCCTCCAAGACTCTGCGAGATCATCTTGGCTCTCGGGGGAAATAATGGCAGAGAAGGCACAGATATTAGCCTGTGGAGGAAAAGCCTCCACTGTGAAACAGCTCGTGAACCTCAGAGAACTGCATTCTGGTCTGCATGTCTCCTGGGAGAACCTGCTTAAGTGATCACCCCCTCTGGGGCCCCAGTTTCCATCAGACAAAAATAAAGGAGGGGGGGTTGGACTAGATGTCCCCTAAAGTCCCCTGCCTGCTCCCACACTTTAAGTCATTCAACAAACACATTCTATCTTTCCAGTCTCCAGACATCTGAAGGCAGGGAGGCCACTGTGGAACCCATGGCAACTCACACCTGTAGAATCTACCTCCTATAACCAACCACTCCACCAGACATGGGAACAGTGGTTCAAGATTCTTATACAAACTCTCTGCTTTCAGACTCAGGCATCCATAGAGGATGTGAAGGACCAGGTAGCTCTGCAGAACAGAGAAGTCCCTGAGAGGAGCAGTGAGCTGTACAGGGCCTCCTTCACCTCCAGGCGCCTTTTATAAAGTGACAAAAGACACCCTGGATGCCACCTCTGAATAAGAGTCGGCTGTAGACAAGGTACAATTAGCAAGCTAGATGGTTATCTTTTAAATAGGCCTTTGATTTCCCATCCCTGGCTCCATTATCTGTTACCTGTCACCAGAGCCAACATATAAAAAGCAGCCTGAGAGGAGAAGCTAGAACATGAACAAACGCCCCAGCTGGGACTTCAGCTTGACTCTAGACCTTTCCTACACACACTGCCAAACGCATGGACTCCTGGGGTGTCAGCATCAGAAAAGCCATAACCAAACATCTATTTCCCACATCACAAACGATGCCAGCAGCCCAACTTGAGAAGCCTCGTTGAGCAACAGACTGAGGCCGAGTCTGGGATTGGTGGTAAAGATTGATTAACCATGTCTGCCCTGGCCATGGGCAGGTGGGCACCATGATGATATAGATTTGCCTCCCTCCTTTCTGAATCTATACACATTTCACAGGTGAGGAATACAAGGCCCAGAGAGGTTAAACCACTCCCTTGAGGTCACAATGAACTTAAGGCAAGAGAAGACCGTGAGTCAGACCTCTCTCCCAGACTTTCCTCAGTGTGACTCCTAGGCAGACAGCAGGCCCAGGAGGAGGAGGAGACAAGAGGCAGATTTGCTCTGGTAAGTCAAGAACCCTTCATGGTGGCATCAGATTTCATCTGGGCAAGCTGACAGAGAAGTGATTAGCAGTCTCGGGGATACCAACCCCTCCTTGGAAAAGTAAAGAAACCGCTCCAGACCACAATGCCATGGTATTTAACTTGCTGACGGGCAAGGTTCTGCTACCAGGAAGACTGAACAGGGGTAAAGTATTGATTTCCGGGTGCTCCAAGAAGAAAGTCCAGCTCTGACACAATGAGAAAATAACACTGGTACTTGAAAATCATACTCACTGGTATTCCATGATCCTACCGGTCTCTACCAAACAGACGCCATTACCCAGGGAAGCCATTTCTCACCAGAGATCCTGGCTCAGAATTGGGGGGGAGCTGCACTGGAATTCCCACTTGTGGGATTGGAAAAACCAGCCCCCAAGCCTGCAAGATGAAACCACTCCCAGAATTAAACCAAGATGTCAGGCTGACTAGGGAGTGGGAATGAGAAGGATCCTCCAGTTAAAACAAAATGGCCTCGAGGCTGGCTTTCCTTGCTCAATCTCGCAACTTTCAGGAAAGTTGGCTGTGTGACCAGCCAGACTCAGAGCACATGATGTGTGCTTTATGAATCCAATGTCCTGCCTGGAGGCCCTGGCAGTCCCGGGATGAGGCATCAGGTCAAGAGCCACTAGAATATCACAGGGATAAAGTCCCAATAGTCGTTTTTCTAGAGCAAGGTCTCATGTAGCCAGGCTGGCCTTGAACTCTTGAACCTCCTACTGTTACCTCCTGAGTACTAGAATTATAGACGTGCACTACCCTTAGGTTTATGTGGTGCTGAGGATCGGACACAGCCAAGCACTCCACCACTCCAGCTAAATTCCAGCCCAGCACTTATTCCTACCAGAAAGATCACGGACACACTTGGGGTGACTCCCAACAGAGTCACAACTGGTCAGCACGGTCCCGACCACTCTGGGTGCTGAAGACTGTTTCCCAGCCAGCCATCTGACATGCTCCCTGCAGGCTCTGGGACATGGGAGGGTAGGCGACGCCAACCTCTTTCCTGGAGGCCAACTGACATTCAGAAGAGGGCTGGAGGGCTCTGCATCTGCAGCCGAATGGAACACAAAGGGGCTGTGTGGAAATTTGGCAGAGTGTTCTAGAAAGGCAGCCCATGAATGCTGAATCCTGCCGTACCTACCAGGGCCCATCCTTGGGAAACAGTTCCCTTCTGTGACCCCCCCCCCCCAAGAAGCAAGGATAATCACACAGCAGCCCTCCCAGACCTGTTCATCATCTCTCCCTCCCCTCTATGGCATTCCAGAGAGGCAGGCAGAAAACCAGAGCGCCAAGAGGTCCAGGTAGCACCGCTGAGAGGCACTCGGTAGCTGCTCCTCCCTCTCTCTGGCCAAAAGGTGGCCTTACTCCATCAATACCCTCTTGCACAGTGAGTAATTTACCATGAAAGCTAAGGCCAGACTGGCAGTTAACCCTGACCTTCCTGCTACACATCTGGGTCTATAGAAAATGAAAATTAGGATGTCTTTGGCCTCCATGGCAAGTGAAATACGAGGGCTCTCTCCAGGCAGAGGCAGAATGTCATGAGCTATTTTAGAACTGTTCGCAGCTATTCCACAGGAGAGTCTGAACCTGGCTGGACACGCCCCCCTCTCAGCCAAGGCTGTGTCCAGGCAGAGCATCCCAAGGTAGGGACACTATCAAGGACCTCAGGAAAGAGGAGTGGCCTGCCCTGCTCCCCGCTGGCACACCGACAGCATCACAGAATGTTGGCATCCAATCACACACACGGAGCAAGCATGGCTCAGAGAGGGAGGCCAGACTCATCAACGCACAGCAAGTTAGCAGTTGAGCTGAGAACATAAGTCTGGCCTCCTGCCACTGATACCACATGGGCAGTCACAGAGGAAAGAGATTTCCCACAGGAAAACCCCACTCAGACAAAGAGTTTAAGGGAGAGAAGCCTACGCTGGCTGTCAGAGTTTGAAGCAGGGATTCAGAAATGGAGTTGTTTTTTTTTTTAACTTTGCAAACAGTAAGGTCTACCCGATAGATAGATCACCCAGACCTCTGGGATGATTCACAAATTACCAGAGTGACAAGCCAAGTTCAAATTGATCTGCTCTGTAGCAAAGAGTCCTCCATGCCCCAGAAGCCAGAATGCCCAGATGGCAACCTAACACTGGGAAGGAAGGGCGTTCAAGCGTCAATCTCAAGAAGTCAGCCTCGTCCCACAAGGCCAGCCAGCAGTCAGTCAAGGCTGACCCTGATGCACAACTTCCCACGGGGCCAAGGAAATCCCGTAAGAAACTCGGATATGTCCCACTGGAGGAGACAGTTCAAGCATGCCCATGCTTGCCAGGAGCTGGGGTAGAGAGGCTGGGATGGTCAGAGCAAAGTGACCGAGCTTATCTATGCCAGGAAGCTACTAGTCCACATCCATGCACACATCTGTGTACACACACACACACAACTTTGAAGAGGCAGACCATCTCAATTTTGTCTACAACAATCACATCTCAGTACAAAAAAAAAGGAAAGCTGGAGGCATTCTGTCCTAGGGGCACTGGACACCTGTAGCTCTGTGACATTTGGAGAGCTCTCTACCAGAGGATCTATGTGACTTCTGGGCTCCTCCAAGGATCAAAGGTGACAAGTTCAAGGACAGGCACTCAGTCCCTACCCGACCTCCTCTGAGGTAAGGGCTCAGTATTCTCAAGAGAGGCAAAGAATCTGATTAAAATAGAGGCTGGGTACAGTGTATGTCGGGGGATTAGATGGCTCACTGGTTAAGAGCACTGGCTGGTCTCCCAAAGGACCCGGGTTAGATTCCCAGCACCCATATGGTGATTGAGGGCTATCTGTAACTCCAGTTTCAGGGGAATCCTATGCCTTCTTCTGGCCTCAGTGGGCACCAGGCACGCATACAGTGCACACATACAGTGCACACATACACGTAGGCAAGGCACACATATGCATTAAATAAATAAAAACAGAGGTTCCAGATGGGAGACTTAGAGGAGACCCAGGCGTCCCCGTGTAGATGGCAACCCAGAAGGTTCTGGTCAGAGTCGAAACGCTAGAATTAGCAGGTAATGATGGGGGCTAGGGTAGAGACAATCCGAAGAACACCGACAAGAACGACCGATATCTCCAACCCACAGACAGAAGGAACAATCCTGGGTGGCACGGAGATGCTGAAGAAGCCAGGAATAACAGACGGCAATAGGAGGAGCAGGGTCAGCTAGGAAAAGGGCTTAGGGCTGAACACTGCTTTAGGCTGGAATAAGACCCTGGATAAGTCTTTGACCTTCCCCAGAGCCTCGATGTTCCCATCCCCAAAATGGGAAGCTCTGTCTCGGAGCAGACACGCAGGGCAGGTGGAGCAAGGAACTGCAGGCTGGGAGAGAGAGAGCTCCCCACCCTCGGCCGCGGACCACTCACCTGTACCGCCGCGGGGGCCACTGCTACCCCGGATCCCCCAGGGCTACCGTCGGGCTGCCGCTCGCGGTACAGAGCCCAGAGCCCCACGTTGGGCAGGAGGACCAGGGCCGCCAGAGCCAGCGCCACCGCCTGCAGGAGCCGCTTCTCTTTGCGCCTCATCGGGGCCGGTCCGCCCCGCCGCGCCCCGCCGCGCCTGCCCCGGCTTTGCGCGTCTGCCCGCCCGTCCGCCCGGCGGCGGCAGCAGTTCGGCCAGCAGAAGCGGCCGCGGCGCCGGCCCCGCTCCAACTCCGCGGCACTTCCGCTGCTCGCCGGCGGGGGAGCCGGGCGCCTCCACCGTGTCGCCGCCGCGGGGGTGCTCTCCAACCCCGCCATTCCCCGGCAGCTCATCCCAAGTCCTGCACCTCGCCTCCCGCCTAGGAGAGCACGATTTGGCCTTATATGCCTCCATCCTTCAGTTCTCCATCTACTTACAGGGGATATTAGCCCTCCGGGGTGCACGGGGTCCTGTCTCCTGTCCGCTCCCCCCCCCGCGGGACGCAATGGTGCGTCCCGCTTCTCCGCCTCTCCCCTCCCGCCGCAGCTTTGCTAAAGTCCCGGAGTTGGGGAGTTGGGCGCTCGCTGGGGCCGCTAGGCGCGCGATCGGGGACGCCCCCGGGGACCCACGCGGCTCTCCGCAGCCCTCGAGAACCCCGGGGCTGCGAGGACAAGATGCAACCTATCACGCTGGGACGCTGCATCCTACTCTCTTCCCAGCGCTGCCCCGAGACAGGCAGACAAGACCCGCCTTTGACCTGGAGACTCCGCGCAACCTGTATGCAGCGGGCAGAGGGCACCGTGCGCATCGCTCAGCAGGCTGCCTTGTTTCCTTCCTCCTTTTCTGCAAGCTGTGCAGGGCTGAGTGCCCTGTCACCAGTCTGGGCTCTTTGCAAAACCAACGAGGAGACGAGAGCCTCCTTGAGAGATCTATTCTCATGCACATCCAACCCGGTGGACTTGGACTGCTTTCCAGTCCCAAGTGTGCTTCTGGACACAGTGCCCAGAACCCTTCCCGAAACCTCGTGTCGTTTCTTTTTTCCCATTCAAACCACCAGCGAGCGCTCACGATGGGCCAGACACTGGGCCAGGAGTAGGGAGTAAGGAAAAGCAGAGCGCGCACTGGTTCCTGGGGGCTGCAGCACCGACCGCTCGGTGCCCGGGACAAGGCTGTGAATGCCATGGCTACATGCCCAAAGAAGTCCGACTTCTGAGCCGCAGACCTGGACTCACACGAAGCCTGTGGGATCCTCCTCCAGGCGCTTTTAACAGCTTGCTCTCAGATGCCCAAGAACAGCTCCTGCTTTCTTTCTGTCTTGCTCTCTGCCAACTTTCCTGCAGGCACACACACACTCGCTTGATCCTCTGCGTCTCCAGCGGAAGCCACTGAGCCCTGTGACTTCCCAGCCCTAGCGGGGGACCAGTGTCCTAAATTCTAGCCTTGCAGTTCTTTCACTTCTAGGCTGAGCAGTCATTTTACTGACATCACAGCTTGGGTCCCCTCACTGCAGAGTCCAAAGTCGTGGGTTATAGATCCCTAAGGTCAAATATCTCCCCCTTTGCCTGGCCCTGCTTTCTTTGGGTCTGTTGCTAGCTTTGTGTGTTCCTCCAAGTGCTGTTGACCACACAGATCCTTGTACCCAACCCCCCCCCAATAAAAACTCTTCGTCTATGTCAGGGGACACCTCTATTTCTGGGGAAATCACCACCTCTTCCCCCAAGTCTCCCCAAACTCAGCCTCCTTGCTGAACATGGCCGGCACTCCCACATCAGGACCATTATTCCCTATACCTAGGTGTACCCTCTGACCAGTCTTCCGATTATAGCTCCTACCCTGACGTTTTTTAAAAAATAATGTATAGGGGCTGAGAGATGGCTCAGTGGTTAGCAGCACTTGTTGCTCTCCCAGGGGACATGAGTTCAGTTCCCAAGAACCAGATTGGGCTCCTGGCCCCCATATCACAGCTCACAAGTGCCTGTAACTCTAGTTCCAGGGCATCTGATGCTCTCTTCTGGCCTGTGTGGGTACCTGCATACATGTGATGTACCATGCATACATTTAAGTCTGCTAAAATATACATGAACAATTTTACTTTTTAATCCATTAAAACACGGTTATTATATTCCTTTTGTATGTGTGTGTTCCCCTAGAAGGATGAGGGATGCTTCTAAGACTCAGGAAGTAAATGAGTCTTACAAGACAAGTTTAGAAAGTTACAAGATGTCAAGGTTCCTCCCGGTGGTTACTTTAAGTTGTAATAATCCTGGAGAAAGAGGATCCTCAGATCAACTATGCAGTCTTCGGGTTGTGCAGGGAGCTCCAGGATGCATGAGCTCTCGCCCATACCGGTGTGGGCTTTTCAGTGATGTCCCTGCAAATAGTCCACGGAGTCCTACTGGCTCCCTCAGCCAGACTTGGGTGGAATCATTTCTTTGGTATGTTGTCCGTGTCCTATCTGTGATAGACATTTGCTCACATGTCTCCAGGAGAAGTCACACATGCACACCCTACAGTTTGTTTAGCCAGTCATCTGCTGATGGGCATTTGGGCTGTTCCCGTCATTCCCCAGTGGTAATGCTGAGCCCCGTGTCTGGTGCTGCCATGAGTACGCAGCATTGGCGTGGTTAGACCACACTGCTTCCCACCTCTGAGCACGGTACAGGTAGCAGCAGCCATATTGACTGTTATAAATGTCGTGGCTTCCCTTTACCTTAGAATAAACTATGAAAGGGCTGAGGAGATGGCTCAGTCAGCAAAGTGTTTGCCTCACACACGTAAGGACCTGAGATCCAATCCTCAGAACCCAAGTAAAATGGAAATTTGGAAAGCTGGGATCCCAGTAGCTCATGCTTATAATCCTAGTGGCAGTGAGATGGGGGGTGGGGACATGTGGGTCCCTAGAAGCTCTTGGTCAGCTAAAGTTTAAAGGGGGGGGAAGAAGCATCTGTGGAATAATACCAAAGTTGCCCTCTGACCCCTACATGCATGTACACACACACACACACACACACACACACACACACACACACACACACTCTAACCTGTGAAACTCCTTAGCTTAAAGCCTAGATTTTGCCATTTCTCATCCTCTCCCAGTTACCCTGATTTTTAATACCTTACACACACACACACCTGACAGCCTCACCTCAGGGTCTAGCTCCATAGTTTTGTCAATTTGATACAGCCTACAGCCATCTGACGGGGAGGTGGGGGGGGGACACACACACACCCTCAACTGAAGAATTGCTTAGATCAGATTAGCCAGTGGGCAAGTCTGTGAGGGATTGCTTTTGATTATTAATTGATATAGGACGGCTCAGCCTGCAATGGGTGGTCCCTAGGAAGGAGGTTTTGAGTTGTTTTAAGAAAGCTAGAGGAACATGAGCCTGGGAGTGAGCTAGAGAATGAGCAAGCAGCCTTCTTCCGTGAGTCCTTTCTTGAGGCCTTACACTGACTTCTTCCAATGACAGATTGTGACCTGGAAGTATAAGCCAAACAAACCCCCCACCCACCCACACACACACACTCACCCACACACACAGTTGCTTTTGGTCAGAGTATTTTGTCATAGCACCAGAAGGAAACCAGAACTGGGCCTTTGCAAATTTCTAGAACTCTCTTCCTCTCAAACTTTTGCAGGGTTCTCTTCTTTCTGTCAGGAACCAGACCAGAGGTCCTACCTCTTGAGATGGCTTCCCGAGCCTCCATCTCAAAAATCTCATCTTCATTTGCCTGGTTTTCCTAGAGAGCAGGTCTGAGGCTGGGCTTCCCTGTCAAGAACACGAGTCCTGAGCACTTGGAAAAGGAACGTGTCCTTGTCTCCTACAAAGCACCTCCATCTCAGCCAACGCATAACACCTGCCTTTACTGCTAACCAGGAAACCGGGGCCTCTTCCTGCAGAGGAATTTGTGACAAGTACCCAAGGACCTCAGGTCACTGTTCCCTGCATCTTGTGAAGCTGAGGACCCAACTGGATGTCCCGCTCAGTAATTCCTGGCTGGGTGAAGCATGCAATTAATGTCACTAGGGAAGGAATGCAGACAGTGTTTCTCTCCTCCCCCTCTTCTTCCAGCTCCCTAGAGCATCACACAGGAAATTGGATTTGAGCTTTCTCACGACTTAGCAAAGTCACTTGTTGATCAAAGCTCGTAGCAGCTCAATCTGCCCCCAATGGGGACACGAGTCTGAGGAGCCAGCTTTAATCCAAAGTCTCTTTGATCACTTTCTACCATGTGGGATGGACCCGACAGGAGGAGGGCTCCCGGGATTTCATCCTACTCACAGAGAAAATACCACTTCCCTGGGAAACTGAGCTAGCCGTGAACTGAAACTCACAGGAACTGTCACTTTCAGAACAAACCATGCCACTAAACCAGGAGGAGCCATTAAATGAGATAGTGCTCACACAGGGCTTATGGCAGACCCTGTCCAATGTGAGCATGGTGACTGTGGGTGGGAAGAAAGCTGATCACTAACAGAAACACTGCTCTGGTCTGTGCCTTGTTCTCCTCGCCTGGAATCATCCACAGGCACCTTCTTCCTGCTCCTCATTTTCTGGCCCCGAGACCCTGAATTTGCCGGTGCTTCTTGCCAGCTGCTTGCCAGATCCCCCCAGGTGGCCAGCTGGTGCTCATCCCAGGGCCCCTCTGGAACATGACCTCTCCACGTGGATGCTTCTGAAAATGCTCTCTTCCAGTCTGCATTTCACTGCACTTTCTTCAGGACACACAGCCCCCTTTGCCATAGGTTCGTACACCTTCATCATCGGAGGAGCTACATACAGTCTCCTTTAAGAGCCTCCGGGCAGGCGACTTGCCCTCTCACACCCTGCCACAGCTGCCCCCAGAGAAGCACAGATCCTGAAACTTCAGAAGGGATTAAATCATGTGTCTGATGAGGGTCTCATCTCCACCTTCCCATTCTCACTTCTTTTCTAGTTTCTTTAACGAGCTGTTTGTTTCACGCCTGGCTCTTTAGTGCTCTACCCTGTCATCAGGAAACGAGAAGAGCCACTCAGTGAAGAGTGGAGAGGGTGACAGGTGCACGCCTTCAGCATGCAGCTCCGACTGGGTGTCCTCACCTTCCTTCAGAAGCCTGGCTGCAGAGCCTGGCTGGCACAACCAACCTCTAAGCAGAGAGACATGAAGTCCTTGAGGTGTAGCCGAGGTCAGTCTGTTTCCAACACTCTTTAATCTTGTCAAGTCCTCGAGCAGATTCAAGCTCCCATTTCTTCCTCAGCTGGCCTTGGTGCATTC